GCGGATTCCACGGGAGGCAACGCCACACTAACGCGGAACGGCCCTGCCACGGGGTGCCCGAGCACAGGGGCTTCAGCGGGCACCGCAATTTCAGAGGTGCCATCGCAGGGCACTGATCCCTAAGGAAGCCACAGAGCTGCTAGCTCTGGAATTCACGGGTCTCTCTGGAACAGAGACACTGTCCTGCGGGGGACAGATGCCCAGTCCACACATCAGAGGATTTTAACTTCCTCACCCACACAAAGTTATAATTAACAGACCGCCATCAAGAGTGGTTATTTTCATTTTCATAAGATAATTTAGCCTTTCTTTTCAATAAAGTTTTTAAATTGTGGGCAAAGATTAATGTTTTCTTTTCTCAATTTTTCTGTGTAATAACCGAGGTTATCTCTGGTATTACCTCGAGATCTCAGGAGAACCAACACAGAAGGAAAACTTACCCAGCAACCTAACACTTTCCAATTACAGAAAATAAGGCTGTCATTTATTATCCCACTCTAACAGTCAGTTATTTCGTAGTGTCTAGAAGATCAAAATGGGATCTCAGCCCCATATACCCAAATAAAGACCATGAATGTGGGAAAAAGCATGACAAATTACACACACATTTTAACATAAGTTAACCAGCTCGGTCTGAGTGGGGACAGACATCTCTCCAACAGACTTGCTCTCTTTGCAAGGCTAATTACACATATGGCAAAACAGCCACCCTGGGCTGCGGAGGGGACTTACCTGCTCACCCAGTCGCTGACATCTACAGACTCTGCATGTCCCCTCCTGCCATCTGAGGTCCTGTTTCTTCCTCGAGAGCCATGGCCACAGTGCTAATCCCTTCACACTCAGGCTGATCCTAGCCGTGAACAGTGCCTTGATGCAACCTCTTCTCGGGAAAGCAGTGAGGGCTACCTTTCCCTAAGCGAGAAAAAGCAGTCTGGCAATCTGGTGGAAGAATTCCCAACATAAACTGGACGGTTCTATTTTACTTTTTTAAAACACGTACTTCATTTGGTTGAATTATAGGCAAATTCCTTCGATGGGAGAGACACTTAGACCTCACTGATTAATTAGTTCATTTTTGTTGTTATTAGAAAACGGTGTTTTATGAACTAGTGCTGTACATGACTTAAAACTATATAACTGAATTAGATCAAAATGGAGTAATGTCCTACAAGCTTTGCGAGAACAGTGAAACTGGAAATTAAAATTGCATTTCTCCTGGTGTTTGTTTTCTGGTGTTCACATGTTTTCCAAGCTTGTTCTAAAGAGTGCATTTTCATCTCCAGTTGCAAAAACAAGGTTATGCTTATGGTTAAGCTTACCACAGCAGCAGCGGAATTCCCGTGATACACACAGAGAAATGGTTCTATGTATTGCTTTGCTTCACCTGCCCCTCGGCTCACGCTCTTTTCAGACTGTCTTTCAGAGGAGACAAAGTTCTGCTTCCACCGTATGCTGAAACGTTTTGCCCACGGGAGAGCAAATTAAGTCTCACTTAAAATTTGGTTGAATTTGGATTTCCCTAAACACAGTCTTTGTCATAACCCCCCTCATTCCATACGGCTGTCCCTTCCTCCCAGCTGTATGTGGCGCTGCCTTTGCCAGAGGAGAAGGTCCTCTCCCCACTCAAGTAAATGGCAAAAGTCCCATGGCTTTGAACAGGATCCAGATTCCATGCAAACTGTTTAAGATTATCAATATTGAATGAAGTGATTGCTCTATGGATGATTCAAAATTTAATTTCTCTGCTGTTATGAAACGGATCCTAATTTGGATATAGATCTCATATTATATATTTTTAGTATTCTGTTTTCCTAAAGTATTTTGAGATCTCTGTAAATGATAACTATAAATATACTATCAAAATTAATTAGCCCTTAAGCTTTCACATGTGACATAATATTTCACTTCCGATTTGGTTCCTGTACAGGATGGGAATAATTCAATCCTCATTTAGTACTCACGAGTATGCTTTTATTACTGTGGAAAGGTTCAGGAAAGCTCAAATGCTGAAGGCCCAGGATCCCTGAGCATGATTCAAGCTGAACAATAAGTATATTCACATTCAGCAAATGGATGTAACTTCTTTAGATGAGTAATTTCTCCTGTTCCCATGGACCTCCTAAAGACACAATTTTTGATTCCTAGGTACAGGGTGAATATCTTTTTCAGAGAACTACTCTGGCAAACTAAGTGGATGCCTGCGGTCTGCATTCAGAAAAGGAAAGAGTTCGCTGGTCTCTCCCACCTCTCAGTGCTTATTTTCTTTCCTTTTGTTTGGCTTTCATTACTGCCATCTTTTACCACTCTATTTTATATACAATCTTATTTCAGAAGAACTGCTGTTCAGTCTTTTTGGACTGTTATAACTCAAGACAGTCTTCTCCCTATTTCCCAAGGCAGATAGTTTTAAATAAAATATTCAATACTGTGATTCTTTTTTTCTTTCAACTAGAATGATGAGATTTGCCTTTTTTTACTATAGCGGAACTATGCCATTTTCTACTTTTTGCTTTGACAAATAACCAACTATTTGCATGCTTTAGATGTTATCCAGAAGTTTAACCAAAAAAGCTCTGGGGAATTCTTGATTTTTACATCTGAAATGGAGAATTAGTTTTTAAAATCCCTTTACAGCTGGAAAATTAATGTAATTATAGTATCACAGGATCTACACTTTTAAAGACGAGCAACTGAGAAAAAGAATGGATTTTAAGTTAGACTGTTGAGAACTTTCCGATTATTTTTGTTATTAAAACCTACTTAAACCAATAACTAATAAATATTTTGGACAAAAGAGCTATTTGTTAAAAAAAAAAAAAACTCTTGTCCTTTCAATTAAAATGTCAGAGCTCACATTAAACATCTGAGACCTTCAAGAAGTCCTCCACCAAGACAGAAAAAAACCCCAAAGTTGACATTCACGTGATTTCTGAGGTAAAAATAATTCTCCTCCACCAGTCCTCCAGAAATAAACCAAACATCTCAGAGTGACCAATTCCAACTACCCTCTATGACTGCAGAAGTGAAAAAAACAAGCCCATTTTTAAGTGTCTTCTGTCAATCATCTTTAAAAGCTTAAGTTGAACCTTCTCTTATTATTCTTCGTGGCTTATTCTTATATATAATTACTTACTTTCATGGAGCTCCTGTGTTAGCATTGTAACAGAAGGTACATGAGTGGCTTCCATCTCATTTTCAAAAAGGTTCTCCTGTAAAATATGCAAATATCAGTTCAAAGCAGCTTTTAATGTAAATGCAAAGAACTGTTGTCATCACACCATGGTAAAGACTTCTCAATGAAGACAAAACTACAGCTAACAAAAGGGAGAAAAGACATACGCATATGAACAAAGCCAGTAAAGCCAAAATATGCCAAACCAGCCAACACAGGCCTTCCAATCCCGAACTGTAAGTAAACAGCACACTGAAAGAGTCTGCAAACTTGTAATATGCTGATGAATTTCTAATAATACTATTATAATTAGGCAACATGTGTCACCATTAATGAATAAGTTGGTACGGATTCTTTAGGCATCCTCTATACCTTAGTCTACTAGGAATCCAGACAGGAAAACATCCTGGAGTGAATACCAAACCTCAGCTTCTGTAAAGGTGGTCCTACATTGCAGGAAAGCTCATCTCTTGAGCTGAACTTATTATTATTATTATTATTATTATTAAAGTGAAAGAAAAAGATACTCCTAATTCTACTTCTTAATACATTAATACATTTTTTGATATTGACACTTTGATGATGTCCCCTTGATGGTAAAATAAGTAAGTTCAGTCACTCTTGTAGGACAGCTTTTCTCTGCATTTAGTGGGTCTTGCAACTCTTCCCAGCAATGTTGATTTGAATTGTTTTTGCAATGCACAGACTGGTGCTTCTCATTGTGGTGGGGAGCACTGCATGTAAAAATATTCTTACATCTTGCAGTGTAGTCTGTTATTGTTTCATATATATCATTTTTTTTTTTGAGTATACATGTATGAGAAGCGATCATCATAAAGTTGTTCTTGGTAATGAATAGGACTCCCAGCTTATGAGATAGATCCTGAATTGCTCCTCAGAACTATACTGTTTTATACAGTTTTTATACAGTTTCATGTCCAATTTTGCCTTCCAATATACGGCACTTCGTATTTCACATGTCACAAGTTATTAGCTTTTTTCACTCGAAGTTTATTTTGGTCATTTTCTTTTTAAATCCACAAAAGAAGAACTAAAATACACCTCATTTGCAAATACAAATGATGATGCTTGTTTTGTTCCAGTCTCATATCACAGATTCCATTTGTGATTTATTTATTGCAGCTTAGAGCAATTGGGCACTGGCTCTGCAGATGTGATAGATTATTTTTCTTCTTAAACTAATTCCAATCAAAAATTTTGTCCAAGCAAGTCAGATAGTACAAGAAACACGAAAAGGAAAAAAAACTATATGCCTTGCCTGTTAGAAACAAGACCCTCATGTTGCGAATTGGCTGTGATGGTGGCAGCCAAAGCTACTAGTAGAGAAGCAGATAATACAGACGGGAAAAAGATTTTTTTTGGGGGGGGTGAAAGAAGCTTAATTTTCCAACACAGAGAACTGCAGGACTATTCATTTTAGCAAACCATTTTGCTCACATGTAAATTTTCTTGTAGCTCAGAGATTTTAATTCCCAGACCCTTTTTACCATCTGTAACTCAATCTCTATTTTTTAAAGAAATTGCAGACATCTGTTTAAATACCCATCTCTTCCGTCACATGGAATTTTGGATTCAAAAAAAAAAAAATCTCAGCTCGAAAATACTACCCAAGTTGGATTACATTTCCAAGCAACCGCAGACTGGCACTCGGATGCTGTCTTTTTAATGAGCCCATGGCACTGTAGCGGCTGGGACACTCCGCAACGCGTGACAGTGCCTGCTGCTGGGGACCAGGGAGCAAAGCCAGGGCCATGGCAGGGACCCCTGGCCGTGTCTGTACCCGCTCTGCTCCCCTGGCAGGGGAAGGGGAGGGCTGCGGCCCCGTGGCCGAGCCCAGTGCTCTGCCGTGATCCTGCACTGCCCGTGAGAGCAGAGCCAGGGACCTCTGCCCTCGCACCCTTCTCCCCAGCTCCCCGACAGGCCAGCAAACAGCTCCCCCAGGCTCATTCTGCGGACCCACCCTCCCAGCTCTCCAAAGAAAACATCATTCCCACCTCCTCTTCCATAAAAGAGAAGAGGCTGTGGCTACACCAGTCCTTTCAGGGCACATTAGAGCTCCAAAGAGTTTTCTTTGCCTTCATATACACACCCGTACTCCCGACTTGTGCGAAGTATCTCATTCTCTGGGTTTCTTTAGAACTCACCAGCAGGCTTTGACCCTTAATCTGCTCCTTGCCTGCCTTATTGGAAACAAAAAACAGCTATTACCACAGGTAAAAGAGAGGTCTGATTCATTTACTTGGAGGCCTTTTGGCCTGATAAGGGACAGTCTTGCAGCCAGATGTTTGGATCCCTCTTCTACATGAATGTCTTCCCTAAATAAAGCTAGTTCAAAGGGAAGTTCTCCACAGTTCAAAGGGAGGTTCTCCATTCCTAAAACTACCTAATCTTAACTTTGTTCTTCAACAATACCTGCATGACAAAATAAGCAAATGCTATGTACCAGTTAAACAAATGCATCAGCCCCATATTTTGCTTCTCATAAAGCATATGAGAAGCATATGAACTTCTGTATATAAATTCCAGAATACAGAAAAATCAGAGGGGAGATTTTATTCACATACAAATCTTCAAACAAATAAACAAAACAAAACACCAAAAAAACAACTTTAGGGACATGTTTGCGGCTGAAGCAGCTCAGGAGTGCTGCTCTAGATCCAGAGCATCTCCCTGGGTTTTGAGGAAGCAGTGAAAATACAGCAGGCAGCTGCACCCATATATTAACATCAAATTAAGTTTCTCTAGCAGTGTTCACTTACTGCTTTGGAACCAGAGGATGGATCCCAAGGCAACACCACAGGAGGTGGCACCAAAAGTCAACACGACTTGGCGGAAGGTGGGTTAAGGACTCTGATGACTTGCAGAAAAACTCTGAGCTTTGCATTTCAAAAGTTTTAAATAAACCATGGCCAATGGAATAATATTTATATACGCATATCAAAACCTTTTATACCTGAGAGAATGAAATTAACTCAATATTGTATAATATGGATGACACATACCCTCTGATTTTCATTTACTGTTCACTTGCAGAACAGCATATGATTTATGTTGTGTATGTATCAACATTTTTCTAAATTTAATTTGGTAGTTTTCCTACAGGAAACCGCCAACCTTCACCCATACCCACCTTTAATAATATTTATTGCAGCTCTTCTGTTCCTCAGTGGCTGGTTGGATATTCTCTTTTATTGCTATGTCCATCTGCTGAGTACACTTTTCCCAAAATAGTCCATGACCACTTTTTCCTATATTTGCACAAGAGATGTACTATTATTATATTTGCACGGAAGAAGTTAGGCGATCCTGCAAAAATGTTTTTCAGTGATCTTGTCTATCCACCTTGAAAGTTGATTTACAATTTGAAATGTGACATTTTAAGTGGCACATTGACACAAGAGCTAAGCGGAAAATATTTCACAACCTCTTACAGATCTAGCCAGAGTTGCTCTTTTTTTAGACCATCTGTTTGCCAAGAAGAATTAACATTTGGTCAAAGAAAATGACCAGCAAGTATTGTTTCTTAACTGTTCAACTTGCTTCCAATACTTACAGCTGGATTCTTGATGGCTTTGAGAACCTGCCTTAGTATACAATTCCACACCATTAGCTGAATTAGGAAAAGAGCAGGAGCCAGCCCTGAGAGCCTAACAAGGACTTTTCTGAATGCACAGGGCATGCAAAGCCACAACTGCCAGGCAATGAAAAACAGGTGCTTTAAGTCACCTTCAAAGAACTGGGATTTCTTCATGCACAATAATGCCTGATCTGAAAGCAGTTATACTCCTGAGGAAAGAGCCTTTAAAATGTGCTTTTCTCTGCAGCTAAAGGAATTCTTGTGAAACTGACCCATCTTCAGCAAGGTAACGCCTTGCATTTTTTAAAAAGAATTTTTGTTTTTACAAACAGGAATCTCAAAACAGCAATACGTACACAGAAGCAAACTGGGTGCCAGTGATATCAGTGGAAAGACACTTCTTTTGATCCAGCCATAATTGACAAATCTTCCTTCTGTTCCTGTGAGACAAGTGAGGGATATATAGAGATCACTTCGCACCCCACTGCAGGGCGGCAGCCTCTAGAAAATATCAACTATTAGAAAACACAGAGGAGCACAGCACAGTTTGGAACAGGATGTGAAAGCCAATACAATATCCATCTGGAACAATGCAAAAAAGGCTGATAGCAGGAGTAGAGTTACCTAAAATAGATTTTGGCCAGCACACTGGGATTAAGAGTTCAACTTTCCAAAAGGTGAGCTGTGACCTCTAATAGCCATAAATAGTTGGGACTTTGTTTTTGTGGATCAGTGGAAAGATGGCACCAGTAGCAACGTGGCATTTGCTCATAACATCCTGATCCATTGCTTCATTACTGGATCATCTGCACAGTTTTCAATGGGACTGAAGTAGCTTCCTGGTCAAATGCAGAGCCAATACAAAGTCCTGACCCTAATGAAGACAGTATCAAAATCTACTTGGAACCTGCAGAACCAAGACTGATCTTCCAGAAAATAGCCTGAGAGATGTAGCAGCAGCATTTCCCATCAGACAGTAATTGTGAGATCTTTCATATCATATGTAACTGTAATCCTTAAATAAAACATTTATTTAGCTCATCTTTTTTTTTTCCTGATTTAATTAGAATCTTGCCTGGTTTTCCAGGTTGGAGAAGTCTTATCTTGCAATATGCTGCGGATGATACTGCTTGGAGATTAATGTCTGCTTTTTAATTAAAGTTTTTACTCAATAAGTTTGTCATACCCTCACAGCAGCATTTAAGACCACGAAAATAATTGTTATTATTCTTAGAATGAGCAGCCCGATATAAAAATTCCACACTCAAAGTATTACCAAAACTTAGTTTGTGGTTTTCACAAGCATATGTACTTTTCTGAGCTTGTTTTTAATGTGCCTCCATCAGAACTTTGCATATACCAAGGTAACATATTTTAAAATTTGGACTCTGTTCTGTAGCAAACATGCTCTTCCACACGGGTTCCCAAAGAACACTGGAGTCACACTCTGCTGAGGGCTAGCAAGGCATTAGATGGCTGAGTTGCCAGCACAGCACTCCTGCTGGCAGTGAGGGGATAAGAAATAAACAGGCACAACTCAACACAAGGATAAAAAGAGAGTGACCTGAAGTTGCGAGAGTGAGAAGAGCAGGGACATGAAAACAGAAGCACTGTGGAAAAGCTCCGGACAAGACACTGCAGCAAGAGCCAAGGGGCAAAGAAAGAATTAGAGCAGCCAAGAGCTGGGCAAGGCCAACGTGCCTTGTCAGCCCCATCAGAGGTCTCAGGAAGGAAGGGGAAGCAGAAGGGTGACAGGCACAGTAGCCTCCTGAAAGATTAGGAGCTGTTGTCCAATGGAAAGAATGATCTCCAGTCCTAATTTAGCAACAAGAGCGACAGTTATTACTGTTCGTAGTGGCAGTGAAACAGAGCTCCAGTTGGGAACCAGCCCCAGTGCAGCACAAACATAAAATGAAAAGATGGTATCTGCCCTAAGACTTTCCAAATTCTGTACAGAACAAGGGATGACCGGAGGAAGGGCAAGGGAGCAGGCAGCAGCAGCGAGGCAAGGCCAGAAAAAGAAACGGACTTTTCAGCCCAACTTTGCAAAATTCTACAGGCTTCTCTTCACCAAATACATTTACATCACACCCAGCTTTAACACAGTGTGATCTTAATGTGGATTGGATACAGGTCTCAGCTGTCTGGCCTTTTAAAAATGTTTCAGATTTAGAAGACACACTGAGCTTGAAGTGGTACAAAGTTGACTCTGCCTTCTCTAATGACCCTTTTTCTGAGAAGGAACTAGGAGAAACTTCCAAGAAGTCTCTCTGACATGCCGACAGAGAGAAGGCAATGAAGAAGGGAAACAAATTCCTCAAGTGTGGGGCCCTGAGAAAATATCTGAGCTCCGCATTAGGAACTTCAGACCAGCTCTCTAGTGCCTGGGGAATGTAATTATCAAGAAAAGTGAAATGGAGAATAAAAGGGGACATGTGGGTATACTATTTAGTGGTTGAATATTTGGCTTTGTATCTGAGGGAACTATCAAAAACAGTAAAAACTTTAGATATTTACCAAAAAGGTATAAGCAATTCCTCCTGCTAGATCCTACATTCTGTAAGAATCCGAGATTCTGATATAAACATAAGAAATTGTTTTCCCACATGTAACTGCCAGGCCCTGAGTGCACTAACAGCCTTTAACTGCCCTGATCAGGCTCATCTCCAGCAACGGGCCCGGGCAATGCTGGGTGTCAGACCAGGCTGTGGCGCAGCCCTACACTGCCCAATTGTGGGCTCCACTGATATACCATAATTTGAACATCTCCTTTATATTTTGTGAATCTTTTCAACAGGCAAATCCACAGTAGCACTGATTTATACATCCTCTCGCGAACAGCTGCTTGAAATCTAATACGCAGCTGAACAGGAGTTTGGACAACTTGATAACTACGATGAGTTAGTAATTGGCTACTTCATTCTCTGACTTTCAGGTAGCTGCACTGAACTTGCTTTAAGCACCTGAATATCCCTCTCACCCTGTTTTGTCTGTGCAGTACTAAGTCCAGGAAAGAGCGCAACCTGTGCACCGGGTGTGCTACGTGAGAGTCCCCGCCTGCCCTTCAGACACGACCTGCACCACCTCCGTCTGGGACAGGGAACATGTGGAGCACCACGAGCGGCACACAGGGCTTCTCTGAACCACATGCCCCGTATCAAAGGCACTCTGTCTTGCCTTCTTTGATGCTCCTCTGGGTAGTCATGAGGAAAGAACAGAACATTTGGAAGTCTCCTGAGGACAAATTCATTTCTAGTCTGAAAGCAGTGGTGTTCCGCCATGGATAAAAATGGCACCATAATATTAAAAAAAAAAACAAAGACAGCCTAGTACCCTGTAATTAGTGTCTAAGAAAGAAAAAATAATAAAAATGATTCACTCTTACAGACCCCAAGGGGCATAGCCAGCTTATTCAGTTTAAAAGGTGAAAATAAAAGAGGGCGGGGCTAGAATATACTGATTTTTAATGTGTGTGTGTGTGTATGCACACAAACACACACACATATATATATAAAAAAGAAGTTGCATAATACCACCTCTGCACTAATTTTAAGAATAAGCCAGAAATGTAATTTAATGTGACTGCATGATTTAAAAGACTGATAACATGAACAGCTCTTTGGATAAACAAAGGTCTTCTTTCATCTTGGCATAAATTAGGAATAAATTCTTTCTAATCAAGAGTTATTGTTATAAGTTTAATGTAAGGGTACCGGGCCCTGCAGCACCAGAATGGTTATTGTATAACACAGTCAAACACCGTGAATTAGGCTTTCTCCTTCAGAACAATGTTCTGGTTTTTTGGCAGTTAACATTTAAGGTCATTAAGGAAAGGCAACTTTCTTTGTATTAACTTAGTGAAGTTGGCAGGAACCTGCAATCTGTTCCTTTATGGACTTCACTGTACAATACCATATGGAGGAATGGAAGAGACACTCTGAAGTGTCTCAGTGATGTTGTACAATACAGGATAATGGCACAGGCAAGACAGATCTGACAATTACTACACAGGCCTCGGACACATTTGTCAGGAACAGCTGCTATATCTTGACCTTCCTTCCTATGTGAGATTCATCTAAACACTCATCCTTTCCAGCCAAAGGAGTAATGCCCACTAATAAGAACTAATCTGGTAAGCACAGGAAGTCCTGAAGAGCCCAACTTTAAATATTTCTACAGACTGGCTGAAGAGTATCTCTGCTTATTTATCTCTCAGCACAACAAATGATACAGCAAATAGTTTATGGTCATTAGTTACTCGACTGTCCCCTCATGGGACACTCTCTGTTAGTAGGTAATCCATAAAACATACATGCCCTTTGTACCTGCTCACAGCCAGAACACGAAGTCGTGGTCTCCCTGCCAGTGCCAGACATTTCCATTTCCTAGAATGAATTATGAATTATCTAGAGAAGTCAGTTTTTATTGCACACACAAAACAGGCTTCCACCTATGGCAGAACTGAGAAAATGAAAAAGAAAAGAAAAAAGAAAAAAAAAAAGAGTGTGCTAATCAGCTAACAGGGAATCACTGAACAGCTTCAGCAAGCAAGTACAAAAATCAGAGTTTTGAAGACACTGTTTTAGCAAAAATGTATCTATCTCATACAAGAAGTATCTATTTTGTGCTAAAATCAGCAGGAGTCATAAAATATTTGCAGTTTTCTCTGCTTGCTCATATATAAACCAATATTTCTCTGATCAGATAGAACAAAATTACAGGGAAGTATTAGTTCCTTAGTTGATTTCTCAAGGTAGATATTAACATTTGATTAAAAGGATTCCTCCTGTTTAAAGATACAGAAACGCACAGCAAATGTAGTTTCCCCTATTTCTTGGAGCCAAGATACATGCTGATTTTTCATTAAAAATGTCACAGCCATCACCCTCAACTGATATAAAACAATGAATCTAGTCACACAAAGAAAGGAAAATTGTAAAAAAAAAAATAAATAAGTAAGCATGATTTTAAACCTGTAGGACTTTAATAACATTATTCTATTTGTTTCTTGGAAAAGGCTGGGAAGACTGAGGAACCTATACTGAGACTTATTTCCTTTTCAAAAAAAAAGTGTCCATAATCTCAACAGCTAGATTTTTTTAAAGTCAAATACATTGAAAACATTTGAGTCTGGAAGCTGTGCACTTGTGTAGAACGTCCAACATAAAATCTTGCGACAGAACTGTACATTGTCAACACTAATTATAAAGAAAACTGTCTTTTACCACTGTTTTAAGGCAAAAAAAAGATTTTGCTAGTCTTTCCTATTTATTCCTTTGTTCAGCCAGGAAGCATCATACTACAAAAGCTCCATTAATTTCAGATAGGTTGAAAGGAACAGTTCCTAGTTTACAATTTGCAAGATAAGACTTTATCTAAAAGCACTATATTTAACATAATAAATTTCATGGAAAAAAAAAGGCAAGAGCTCTGAGGCTTTATCACACTACAGTAGACTTCAGAGGTGCTGATTATGAGATTTTGTTTGCACAAAAACAACACATTAATTACTTGAAGAGGCTTGAAGAGAAGATTACAAGAGCAGATTATCAAGACCTCAGTCTTGACAACAGTCGCAGCTAGACCCTGTTGGAACTTCCATATAATGTCTGTAAGTCTTTGCAACCTGCCACCTGGCTTGTTAGTGCCTTATTGAGGCTCTAACCCACAGTGAGCACAAAGATATTGTATGAAAAAAAGATCTAATGCCCAAAACAACACAAGATTTTGAATATATGTGCAATTCTGATCTAGCCATTCAGAAGTGTTCTTCTAAATCACAACAGCCTAGCAAAATTGTCCTTTGCGCAGAATACTGCTCAAAGGGTTTACAACAAGCCTGTACCTTCAAAAGCACTACATATATGCCTAGATTATGCATCTATTTAAATGAATGGATGATTCTGGTCTATAATTAAAAGTTTAATATTAAAATAACCCTTGTCTTTTAACAAAAAAAAAAATTTCATTCATGAAGCAGCAGCCTAGAAGCTTTACAAAGATCTCTCTTTTATTAAGGATCACCTCATGAATTTTATGCATGAAATTCCCTGTAGACCCAGGTCAACCTGTAATATCCAGTGGCCAAAATGAGAGATCAAGGAAGAAATAAAATCCCTATTTGTTTCTGACCATTTTTAAAGGGCAGTCGCTAGGACAGGGATTATATGAGGAAAACTTAGGCTAAAATATATTATTTTTTCAATCTCAATAACAAGCTGTTTGACTTCAAACTAAATACTCCAGGCTAAGATATTTGCATTGGGCTGTTTAGATTGAGGCAAGTCATGCCAGAGAGTAAATTTTAATTATGTCTGTGTTTATGTCAAATGAAAAACACTTGTTTGGGTCTAATGTATTTGGAGTGTGGGATGCCAGAAGCGCTGCTGCTGCGGTATCTGCATTAGGCAACATATTTCAGTATCAGTCTCTAAGCTTTGCTGGTGCCTGCAAACAGGAAGGAGACTCTAGCACAGCACAGTCAGCTCCAGGTCCCCCAACTTATAAACCTTAAAGATACACTGCTTTCTGAAAAGGTCCCAAAAGAAATTAATTTCCTACACAGTGCGGGAAAACACTTTTTTTTTTTTTAAATTGGCTCAGAAATTGTGGGAAAGAGCAATAAAAATACTTGTGAAAGTTGTGGAAACAAGCCAAATGGGGGAACAGGGACACACGCACCGCCTCCTCTGTAGGAAGGTCTCAAAGTCTCCGTCCCTCCGGGAGAGAGGGGCAGAGCGGGTCCCTCTGCTGGGAATCCTTTGGACGGGGTCGGAGTGCCCAATGCCCTGCGTGCCATG